ATTGGCTTTTAACATTTCAATCTAGGTTTGGGTCATCCCAACCTAATTTAAGATGTTATCCAAACACATACTAAAAGATTGAATGGAAATGTAATTGCCTCATTACAATCTACTTATCAATTTGTGCATTTACATGGAGACATGTTCTAGTTATCAATGTTGTCTAGAGAGTTTGTAAATATAAAATGACTAGTATTAATTGTGGATTTAATGTATTTATCAATATGATATGTTTTACAAGAAATGTTAAAAAAATTTCTTGAAACTTATGTACCTACTAGCTAACATCATTAGCTTGTTTGAGTACTTTTCATGTAAAACATTTAAATGAGCATCATTTATAGCTAAATATAACTTGATATACATGAAAAATATATTGTAAGCCAAGTATTCCTAATCTTTCATGATAACTATCAATAATTACATGCAATACAAACAATTACATGATAATTATTAACAATTACATGTAATTTTAACAAATAGAAGGAACATAAATGATAGTGACTCTAGATTTCATGAAAACTATAAAGAACAACATGAAAAACTAACTTCAAGATTATACATTACATTAACTAGGCCTATCCTTTCTTGATAATTACAAACAATTACATGTAATTTGAACACACAGAGGGACCGTAAATGATAGTGAATTTTGATTACATGATAACTACTAAGAATAACATGAAAACTAACTTCAAGATGATTATTTACCTACTGGCTACCATCACTAGCTTGTTTGAGTATTTTTCATGTAAGACATTTAAATGAGCATCATTTATAGTTAAATATGACTTGATATACATAAAAAATATATAAACTAGGAGGACTTATTGTAAGCTAAGGATTCCCAATCTTTCATGATAATTTCAATAATAACATGCAATTACAAACAATTACATGATACTTATTACCAATTACGTGTAATCTTAACAAACAGAGGGCACATAAATGACAGTGACTCTAGATTTCATGAAAACTATGAAGAATAACATGAAAAACTAACTTCAAGATTATATGTTACATTAACTAGGTCCATAACTATTACAAACAATTACATGTAATTTGAACATAGAAAGGGCACGTAAATGACCAATGAACATAGAAAGGGCACGTAAATGACCAATGAACCTAGATTACATCATAACTATGAACAATAATGTAATATTCTCACTCCACTAAACACAATTAACTAATAAAACTCATAGTAATCAAAGAATTAAACCAAAAAGTGATTATCAAGGTTTAATTCAAAAGTAAGGGATCCCAAGTTTTTTAAATAACAATGAGTTTAAATTAATCAAAATCCTTCATATCAGAGTTGAATAAGTTTCGGAAGCATAGGATATCTCAGAGGAGTGAAAGGAGTCGAAAACGATTGAAAAACAAAACTTGTGCTGTGTTACAGGGTAATGCACCAAAGCTCATGCATGCTACGCCACGGCGTGTTGCTTTCTAAGCCATATGCCGCGACTCAAGTGCCATGCATCGTGGCATGTTGCACGAAAAATTAGCAAATTCTACTGTCATTTGACAACAAAATCGGGAAACTTTTGACTCGCCCCAATTCTCCATCTGACATCCGAATGATATGATCTAGGTGTTTATAAAAAGATCTTTACATAAACTAGCTAATGGTATGGGTTTTACTTCCAAAATAAGTCACACCAAGAAGTTAGACACCCAAACACATTTTAACTACTTTTCACAACTTTCACATAAAATGGGTGTCCAAAACTCTCAAAATATCCTAAAAGCCTTTTCTAACACCTGGACCGTGTCCATTAGACTTAGGACTACTAATACAACATGTCACAAGCATTAAAACAATAATATAACAAAAATTTACTCCTCAACCCTATTTTACCAAAAATAAAGGGGGAGGTAAATTGTCATTGTATTGCACTCAAATCATTCAAAACATGTTCAAATCTTCATTTTTACACTTATACTAGTATTTTGGTCTTATAAATATATATATATATATATCAACATACACAAAGACTCAGGGCCCAAAATATAAATCTAACATTCCCAACAACAAAATAGTGCAAATGTGATGGCATGTATTCTAGAATTAGCAAACATATACTATTACACAAAATAAACTACACTAGAGGCATACATAAAGGAATATGCTAATTCGTAACTTCTTTAGCCTTCTCCCTCTCAGTACCAGAGTTAAAGCTTGAAAAGTGTTAAATGAAAGGGGTGAGTCTAGCCACTCAATAACTAAGGTAGAACCTACCTTATGCAGTTATATATCATTCAAAAACCAAGTACATGCATAAGAAACTAAGTAAGTAAAACATGCTCACACATGTCATAACTCATTATTTCATATTTAGTAACTTCTTTTTTTCCTATATACTAGGTATATTGTCACCATATTCTCAGATATGTGACCATGATCCATTATTCACGTGACTTGTCACAACTCAATAAGTGTGACACGTCATATATTTACTTATCTAGGAAATAATCAACTAATCTTATATCCTCCTTATTTCCTCAAACTAAAACCATGAGTTATAACACTAATAAGGGCTCCGTTCATGTGATTGGACTACCCAAGCTCACCAATCATAAGGTGTAAACCGACCAAAGATAACAAAACTCACTCTTGGACCATGATTTCTCTCATTCTCGAATCTCTGAGGTGTCTCATACCCTAGGCTATTCTCCTTATTGAACCGATGGAGATAGCTAGGTTTTAATCTCTCGACAAATTGTGAGACAATTTCTCAACAAACTATAGGATAAGGCTATACCCCCATGTACCGGAGGATAGCCTAAATACCATATAAATTTTCTCTACTCTAATCCCTAGGCAAACTCCCGCCTACTGATTATGTCATAGATAATACTCACTCTTTTCACTTTTTTCCTTTACTCATTATCAGAATCAACACATTGGGCTCATGACCAAGTGCCACCCAAGTGTACATCAATTTTTTATCTTTCACTAATATCACACACACCTACTGTTCAATCACAATTGCTTATCTTTATCAAATCAATCAATTACTACTCATTTACAACACACCATCACATTTGTCTTTCTAAAGACATATGTATATTCATAGTTCAAAAACATCTTGATTTGATATTTGCATTTCAAACCACAATAACATTATATACATTAAATTTTTATACACTCATTGAACTAATACATGGTTTCACATTAAAAATGAAACACATGCATGTAACATTTACAATTCACATTTAATAATTAATTAACAATTAATTAACATATAATTATCTAAAGTAGGGTTCCCCCAGTTATCTCATACCTTTGAGAAGTCAAAGGTTTATTCCTTAATCTACTAGCTTCCAAACTTGAATTTTTCGATCCAATAAATGACTAAGAGCTAAAAACTACAATTAACCAAGTTGAATTTCATCAACATTACCAATTCAAGCATTTAAACCCTCAATCCTCTACTTCTAAATTGTCCAATATTCCCTCTGCATGAGTTTGAGCTTATCCATTAGGTTTATTATCTATCTTTAATCCCCAATAGCATTAATGAACTATTAAATTCCCATTAATGGCATCACAATCTTCCAACCATCCATAATAAATTAGATTTTTGGATATTAATGGTGTCCAATAACCCAAGACACCAAAAATTCATTATACTAGATTTAAATACTCTAATATACTTCTATTAATTCCATTTGAGTCAATAAATTTGGACCCATAAGTCATAGATTGAAAATCCACTTCCACTATCAAACCTTGACTATAAACTCATAAATGTGAAAGAGATGGGGAGCTTAATGAGTGTGATACTTATCTTGGGTGTTTCTAGCCTCCAAAATACTCCTAATGTCATCCACAAGAAAACCCTAGTAAAGCATTGGCGCGTCTCTCCATTTTCTCTTTTCTCTTCTTTCTTTTTCTGTCTCATTTTCACAACTAATATTTGCATAAAATGGCCATGAGCCACAGTGGAAGCATGATATGCCATGGTGCATGGCACAAAAAGGTCCTCTCTCACATCAAAAGTGTATGTGCATCGTAGTGGACTATCTCCATGTCGCGGCATATGTCACAGCAACATCAACTCTTCCTTTTCTTCCCCTTTTGATGCCCGAGTGGCCCGCCTTGGTACCGAACCCATGATTAGGGTTAAAATACAATTAGATATGCTTATTAGACCTCCCTAGCCACACACCATCTCAACTTATTTAATTACCCTAATTATATTTAATTAATTAGGTGATTAAAAACTGGGATGTTATAAATAACATGAAAATTCACAAAACAAAATGAACAAAAATGTCACTGCCTAACCTTCGCACCTCAAGGCTATCCCCTTACACGTTGCACCCTGAACCCACACCCTTACACCCTAAGCCTATGTCCTTGATCCTTATACCTGAAGCTTATGTTCTTGCACCTTAAGTCAAAACCTTCACACCTTAAGCCATAACTCTTGCACCCTAAGTTGCTATCACATTGCATCTTGCACCTTAAGCCTATTATCTTTTTCCTTGCATCCTAAGCCAATATTCTTGCACCCTGAGCCTATTCCCTCACATACCTTGCACCCTAAGCTTATCCCCTTATCCCCTTACACCTTAAACTTATCCTTTTGCACCTTGCACCCTAAGCCTTTCCTATTGCACCTTGCAACCTCAGCTTATCCTCTTACACCTTACACCTTAAGCCAAAACCTTTGCATCATAAGTTGAAACTCTTGCACTCTAAGCCAAAATTCTTGCACCTTAATTCCCCTTACACCTTGCACTATAAGCCAAAAACCCTTACATCCTAAACCTATCCCCTTGCATCTTGTGCCTTAAGCCTATCCCCTTGCATCCTAAGCCTATGCCATTGCACACAGAGCCTATAACCTTGTACCGTGAGCCTATAGATATTGTTTACATGTAAATATATGTTTTTCATGTAAAAGTCATGTGCTCATTTCAATTTATTAGCATCACCAAGAAGTTGCTCTTTGATTTCCATGAAAGCCTACTGAATAACATATAAGTATTGACAACGAGGGATCATATGTCCTTTATTTTCATGAAAACATATTGAGTAACATGTAATTATTGACAATATTGATATGTTGACTACTAAAGTCCACAAAAAGGAAAACAAAAGTAACAAAAGCTAATAATCGCCTAAGATTTTACAGACTCAAACCAAACACCTATTCATAAGCTAGTTATATCTTCCTTTGCATTCAAATCACTAGCGCTTCGATTGACAACATCTGGCAAGATTCGAATGTCCACAATCTCCTATTGAACATTCTCCGAGTAAAGCCAAAGTCTCTCATCTTCTTAAAGAAAGAGAAAGCTTCTTCTGTGATACTTTGTAAGTTTTCTCTACAATTTTATGACTTTTTTCAGGTGAAGATTTTTCTGGAAGAGAAACAAGCTGCAACTTGTGTTACATCTAATAAAAGTTGAATAAACTAACATTGATTTGTTTCCCAATTTGCTTGTGATCTTTGTAGCTCTACTTTAGGCTTTTCATTTTCTTTCTTCAGCCCTTCCTTGAAAGGCAAGTCGGGATAAAAACAGGAAAGAGTTTTTTCAGCACTGCATCATCTTCTTTGTCAGGATCAGGTTTCATGATAATAGTCTTCACCTTTTCAACTTCATCATCTAATGTGTATTCACATTGATCTCTTTGAATAACGTCAAGTCTCCCCTAAAAATTTAAGAGAAGCAGCAGATTATTGAAAACTTTGTGGCCACATTTACAATTGCATATGCTACGATGATAATAATAGCATTAAACAGACCGAACATCTTGTAGATGATAAGAAACTTCCAAATTTTGTTTAGCTCAGATGCAAAGTATAGGGACACGTCATGGTACGATGAGAGTTTAATCAAGACATATTAAAAGACAACTTCTAATTGAGAAATCTTCAAGAAATATGGAAAACTAATATTCTACATACTTAGCATGCTTCAAATCTTACTCAGTAGCAACTAATATCAAAATATACAACATGATGTGGTTGGTTGACTGCACACATTCCGGCATACAACCTGCCAGCATAGGTCCCTAATTTTCAAAAGCCTTCTTATTTGAACTTTCATCCCATGAAACTAATATTTCAGGTGGCAGTGGTGACAAATCACAAAAGAACAAGTTTGAGCCTTAAGGCAATTTAATTCTGGTCACCCAAGTATCCCACCATTTGAAATCAGTTCCAGCAGCAAAATCAGAATTGCAGAGGCTTTTATCAAATTTATGAACTACCCAAAAATACAGGACAATGGTTTAGCAATGTAACATAACTCGAAGAGCTACAGAGTGACCAACAAAGATGACACAAGGAGATATCGAAATCGAGGTACATGAGATGATCAAGAGCGTAGAGGGCAGAGCAGGTAGCTCGGAGAAGGAGAAGCCATGGTTCTGTGAACTAGACAGTGGCTGACCAACGAGGAAGCCGAGAGAAGGGGGAAACGACGAAGCTTTAAATCAATGGAGGGAAGCAAGGGCAAGAACCAAGACCAGCAGCTTCACTTTGTTCGCCGGCAAGATTGTGGTTGAGGGATTGAAAGAGGGAGAGGCAGTAGGTGTGATGGAATGGACGCATGGCTATGGCAAAGAGGAAGGAGGCGACGGGGAAGCAAAGTGGAGGGAAGCAGGTGGGGCTCGAGTTACAGGCAGTGGTGGGGATAGATCAGAGTTGTGACGGATGGGGATGGAGGGAACAAGCCTCAGAAGGTGAACGGCGGTGGAGGCGAGGGCTATGGTGGAGAGTAGAGAGTGGAGGTGGAAGTCGCGGAGAGACGAAGGACCAAGTCGCAAGTCTTACACCGGAAATCGTCTTGCCTGGAATGCGATTGAATGGCCTCGGCCTTGTTTTTCCCCAACAACAAAGGCCATTTTGTTCCATTCATGCAATTTTTTTTTATTACTTTAATGTTTCTTAAATTTGGTTTCCTTTCAACCAGGAATTTTCTAGCAATTCTTCTTTATTTTTGTGTGGCTATATACTGCTATCTTAACCCCTACTCCTCTACTCTTGCAGCAACGTCTTGTTCTTCTCCCAACTTGTAGGTATGGCAATGTATCACCCACTTATTCAAGCCTCCATGTTAATTGTTAGTACGTCCTCCTCTCGTTAAAAAATATAAAATATTTTTAATTAAATATTATTTTTTAATAAAGTTATTACTTATTTTTAAACTAAATTTATTTTTTTATATTTTTCTCTATTAAACATCTTATAATAAATATAAAATTATTATTAATGAGAATATTTTAAAAAAAAAACAATGATTACATATTAAATGATTAAAAATACCTCATATTTTTGAATATCCAACTCCTCAAAAATACCTTATATTTTTGAATGGAGGGAGTAAGTAATATTTATTTGACACTTGTATTCTAATAATATGACTAGTATTTACTCTTATTATAACAGTATGAATGCTAATATTTTTCGATTTAATAATCATTGACAGTATTATTACTCATATTTTAGTTAGAATGTGATTTTATAAAGTTCTTACTCTCTCACGCAACACAGGGTTAGAATCTAGTTTTAATTATAAAATAAGATTAAAATTTTTATTTTGAATTTTTTCTGACTTATCAAAAATATTCATTTTTAATATTTAATTTTTTATTTTGTTCTAAGAAATGTCAACATAAAGGTATAAAATAAATTTTCATATGTATATATAAGTTTTAAAAATAAAAACGAACTCTGTTTAGTTAAGATTAAATTAGAGAGAGGATGTTGAAATATTTTACACTTTTTTGGGCGAAAATATTGTACTTTTAATTTATTTATGCATATCATGTTGTAACTAAAATTTTTAAAACTATTTTACATTTTTTGTGGTTTTTAGGGTGAAATTAAAAGCCCATCAAAAGATTCCCTTGTCGTACATTTTTTCACAATGGTGTGAAATAAATAAGGGAAAATCATTTTATTGTTTTGAATCGATGCAAGAAATTTTTATTTTATTTTTCTTCAACAATAGTTGTTGAAATTTAAAGTTTAAATTGTCTTTTTTTTTTTTGAAGCAAAGTTTAAACTGTTTTAATGCATAACAATTGGCAAACATATACTCATTAAAAAATGTAAGGTATTTTCAATTAAATCTCACCCTTCAATAAAGTAATTAACTACTTTTAAACTAATTCTATCTTTCCATACTTACCTCTATTAAACACTGTATAATAAATATAAAGTTATTATTAATGAGATACTTTTGAAAAAAAAAAGCAATGATTTCACCTCGAAAGACTAAAAATGCCTTACATTTTTGTACATCTAACTCCCAAAAAAATATCTTATATTTTTAAATAGAGGGAGCATGGTTTTAAAAAGTATTCAAGTAAATCAAATTAAAACATAATTTAAATTAGAGTGAAATATAATTGCATCCCTTCTATTTTACTAAAATTATAAATACATCTCCTTTATTTTCAAAACCTAGATTTTAGTTCATTTTATAGAACTATTGGGAATATTCTATTAAAGATTCTAACAAACTCTTTTATTTGTAATTTTTTTGAAAAAAATAAAATAATTAATTTTTCATTGCAATCTAGTTATCTACTTACCCCCAAATTTATAGAACATAAATAATTAAATATGATAATATTGAAATAAGCAATTAAAAAAAGGCTAAAGCGTACTTTTGGTCACCTAATTTTACATAAGGTTATAATTTAGTCACTTAATTTTATGAAGTATTTCAGTACTCTAATCTTAGTACCTTTAATTTTAAATTATTATTTTATGCAAATTATTTTTATTTTTTAAAAAATAAATGTTTAATTTCATCAATATTTAAATTTTAAATTTATGACCTTTTTATAGATGAAAATAACAATATTAAGATTAAAGAACTAAAATGATACTTTATAAAATTAAGAGATCAAAATGAAATCTCATATAAAATTAAAATATTAAATGTGCACTTTAGCCTTAAAAAATAAAGTGTTACAATTAATAAAATTTAAATAAAATTTAATATAAATTATATTAATTAATTTATCTATTATTATATTAAATCCCTACTTCATTAAGTTTTTTACATTTGTGTTTGAAATATTGTTTTAATCAATTTATACATTTAAATTTTTAAAAATTATTAAGTAAATAAGTTTACATGAATAAAAAATTGAAAATAGGAATATAAAAGTCAAAAATATATAAGCATTAAAATTTTTTGATAAATTGAATAAATTTTAGACAACATCTATATTTATATAAATTTGGGATGCTAAATGAACAGTACATGAATAGAAAATTACTGAAAATACCCCTAGTTTCCCCCCCCCCCCCCTGAAATCAATCTATAATATATTTCGGATGGAGTATACATTTATAAATTCCACTCCGCCAATCTATAATAGCCCAAGGTCCTCCACTGATCACACGGGGTATAAATCTAGAGATCAAATAAGGGGAAGACGCACAATACCAAATCAGATTCCAACGGTACGACTTGTAGGCAAAGAGATTGCAATTGAGAAGGGCTAGACCATTTGAATATGGATACACCTTAACGTTGCAATAGGACTGGCGGAAAATTGGGGTCGAAGTTGCAGGGGAAAACTCAGAGAGCTGATAAGTTCATTAAGACCTCGCTATAGGAGGAAATCAAGGGAAACTAAGAAGGCAGGAAAAGAATTCACCGCTGGTTCAAGTGTTTATCCTATGAATCCTGATGACAAGAAAAAGTAATGCTAGCTTATTTATGTTTTGGGGACTACCTAGAGGTATAGCTCATGATGGGGGCTGTGTAAGTCACTTTTTGGGGTCCTTAATGTCTTTCAGCCGTGAGGCTGCATTCTGGACTATTTTGTATTGTTAAGTGTATTTAGGAGAGTCTGGCCTCTCAAACGCTGGTCCAGTGCTGTTCTTGTGTTTCTTGTGATTTATGTAATGTTGCTTTGTTGATTTCAGTTGGTATTGTAACAGGGAATAGGGTTTTGACAGAATCAGTGTTGTATTCTTTCGAATTCTAATAGTAAAAACCTCAATATTTTCCCTCATTTATTCCTTCTATTGTCATTTCAGCAGGGTTCTATCAGAAACCAACAATCTTCTTGATCATACTGGTATGGCTCAAATGAGTTTTTACCAGTTGATGGGTCGAAGCGCAAGATAGAATTGTGTAATGGACAAATGGTAAATCTGATAGCTGCAACACATGACGAAAAATCTGCACGCTCTGTTTTTGAATTTTTCTTGTTAGAAGGCTCGCAATGCTTTCTCTGCTTTAGAACATTTGCACAACTTGATTGCAGGAAAGCTAGGCAAAGTGCTGGGATTTAAGATTTGCATATTTGGTATTGAAGCTAATTTGTTCGACTCGTTAATGATATACCCCTGTGGCCGAATAAAACATTGCAAAAGCATGCAAATGAAATTTATCAAATCGGCAAGCAAGATTCGCCGGAAGAAGTTTATAGAATTTGAGTTAGTCTTACAGAACGTGGACAGTGGACGGCGGACTCAGATTGCTTATGATATGGAATAAACCGTCGGACTACAAACTATTGATGCACAATAGTTTATTATGTCTAATAAAATCGGGTGGGTCAGCAAAAAGTAGGCGCATACGATCAATTAATGTGTATAATTATCATAATTAATAAGATTACCTATTTAGGCAATTGGCACAAACGTGCAAATTATTTGTTTATTATGATTTCTATTTTTATCAGATTTATTTATTATTATTCTGCGTTCATGCAACCCCGCCAATACAGACTCCATGGTACGAAGAAAATAGCGAGATGAATAGATATTAATTCTTGGCTTTTAATTCCTGGCTATTAAATCCATTGATTACAAAATAACCAATGACATAATTTCACTGCTAAAAACGACAGATTAAAATCACACGAAACAGAACCATAACGGATACCACAGCTTTCAATACCAAGTAAAATAACCCAGAACCCAGAAAGGGCTATCTAATAATACCCTAAACTCCATTATTCTATATATACCCTGCACTGATCAATCTACTTAATTCCACCAGCTTCCATCTGACTCCCCCGTTCCTGTCGTATCCACCCTCGCGGCGTCCACCCCCGTTTCCTTATCCGCCTCCACCACGGCTGTAACCACGCCCGCCGCCGTACCCACTCCCGCTGCTGCCTCCTCTGCCACGAGACTGAGCTTCGTTCAGTGTAATGTTCCGGCCATCAAGATTCTGACCGTTCATGCCGTCAATCGCATCTCTCATGGACTGCTCTGAGGAGAACGTCACGAATCCGAACCCTCTTGTGTTGATGTTAGTATCTTAATTCATATAAATTAAATAAAATTTAAGCATCATCATACATGGGTACCTAAAAAATTTATGATTGCTTGAAATACCTCAATTATCTCGAGTATAAACAGATACACAATTCACTAAACCTCATAATTTGCAGAGAGTTAGAAGATAATGGAAAGAGTAAAAACTATCGTATGTTTGTAGTTATCAACTGATCGAATTATATGACCAGATCAGCAACTACTATAATAAATAAATTAAATAATTGTATTCTATTATCTATGACCCAATTAAGAGATAGAGAATAATTGACGGCTACAGGATTGTAGGTTGGTCCTCTACTCATTGGGCTCTCTTGTATGGTCCACAATTATAGTCCATATAAGATCATAAAAACTAATATATTTGGGTTAATTAATTAATGTAAATCCATAAACAAACATTCCAACAATCTCCCACTTGGATTGTATTAATTAAGCAAGTTGTATAAACAAACCACAAACAAAATTTAAAAAATAAAACTTCACAAAATCACTAGATCCTATGAGAAAATAAGTGATACAATGTCTCATAATCTAAATAGAACATGAATTTTTTTTTATTCTAAACACAGTTTAGTAACATAACAATATAAATTACTGATTCTTATGGGGAAACAAGTGACATGTATAGCATACCACAATAGAATCATTGAATTATATGGGGATACAAATGATATAGATGCATTTAAGTAAACTGAACATAGAATGGGTCTTCTGACCACAACTCAATAAAGATATGACACAAAGTCACTGAATCCTATTGGGAAACGAGTGACATAAGGTTCATTAAAACAAATAATAGAATTCTATGAGAAAACAAATGATATAAAGCACTATAACATCTCTACCTGTAGATTAAAGTTCAATAGAGAAACAATATAAGATCACTGAAGCCTAGGAAGAAACAAATGATACAAGATGCATAAACATAAATCTTTAAATCCTATAGGAAAACAAATGGTATAAAGCATCTCATTGTTTCTGAAACAAGAACTGAGCATAATAATAAAATGGCATTAAATCATCAAATGTTGTTAAAAGGACACAATTTAAACTCCCACTGAACTAAGGCTATCTTAAAAAGATCAATAAAACCTATATAGGTAAGCCTTTGATCATACAAATGAATAAGCATATATTCACCATAGAAGTAAACCAAATAAGTCTGAGTGTCTATAATTTTCTCCAACAAAATCTTTGAAAAAAGCTTAAGGTAGACAAAATATCACATTAATAGTTAGAGGAATAACAAAATGCATGTCCAACACACACACACACACATTTCAACATACAATAATTTTCCAAAATGATCTTAGTATCAACATTAGGTGTCATATACCTTTCAACATACAATAATTTTTCAAAATGATCTTAGTATTTTCTTGCTAGAATTTTGCAAGTATTTACCTAGGGGTACATGAAGCAAAATCTAGATCACACACACACACACACACACACACACACACACTTCAACATACAATAATTTTCCAAAATGATCTTAGTATCAACATTAGGTGTCATATACCTTTCAACATACAATAATTTTTCAAAATGATATTAGTATTTTCTTGCTAGAATTTTGCAAGTATTTACCTAGGGGTACATGAAGCAAAATCTAGATCAAAGACCAATGCATATTTTAGCATCCTCAGAGTCATTCATAGCAGAAGTGTATAAAATTCTTTATATGCAAATTTTAAAATGGTCTTCATCAATATTAATTTTGAGGATGTGAAAACTTAACTAACCTTACACCCCTTAAACAAGTATCAAACTAGGAGTGTGTATTATATTTCTAAACACTCAATTAAAATAGGTTGTTTGAGACAAATCAAGGTTGTAATTAGACACATTTAAATGAATATTAATCCTTAAATAAATATGTTGGATAGAAAATTTTATATCAAGGTGGCACGACCACAAGTATGTTATCTCATTCATTTGATCACTAGCTTGTAACTGGCTATTAGCAAGGAGCATAAGAAGCAAAAGGTTGCTTTTTCCAAACATTTAACAAATATAAACAAATTTAAAGTATTCTAAGTAAAATTAAAGGAAGATAATATTCTCATCAAATTTCAAATGTCACTATTTAGAGACTTGCTTATTTCTAAATATAGTTTTAAATAGTTGCACATTAAATGTTCCCAATTAAATTTTACAAAACTATCTTATTAAAGTATTTCAATTCCTTCTCTCAAGTCTTTATTTGTTTGAGATAATCATAAATGATTACTTTCAACTAGGTATTACAGGCATACCAACTCTGTGAGAATGCCTGAATAAAATCAACTGCTTAGTATATATCATAGATTGTTTTATTTTAACAAGTGGATTCCTAACAACCTCATCCTCATCAAATGAAGTTGATCAATAAACATGCTTTGGTAAAAGTGTTGCTCTTAACAAGTAGGCCGTGGTCTAGGCCTATAACTCTCACTATTTATTTAAAAGTAAGATTTAAATTTGATTAACTTGATAGTGAATAACAAAACTAGCATCTTTCTTGATCCTATGCAATAGTAAATAATGAATTCCTTAATAGATTTTGAGATTAAGCTTCTTCAACTGAAGATCTTACTTTTGATTTCCAGCTTAATACAAATAATTTATCTTATATTATTTTGGATACTAAATCATCAGGCATCTAATTCAAATATGAATTAAGGACTTTATCAAAAGGATTATAACAAAATGTATTTAATTCACCATACTTATAGGATACAAGAAACATCAAAACATTAAAACCCTTATTTCCAAAATTTGCCAAAATAAATGCCCAACTATCATCAATGGTAATCTTTGATTTACCAATAGCGTCCTTTACCAATATATTATTTAGAGATAAATCTAAATTTTTAAACACAAATTACATTGACAATGACATACCTATGGGATAAAATTCATTGTCAACATAATATTTTAAAATATAATTTTTAATAATACATTATCCTGATTTGACCCACCATAGGTGAGCACAATATCACTAAATGTAAATGACTCTTACAATATCATAGAAATATATCACTAATTTATTCGTAAATGCCTTGAGCATGTAGAAAGAAATGAAAATTCCAAATAAAAAGGACAATAGTCTAGCAACTTCACTTAAATAAGCCTTAGCTTCTAAAGTTGTTTCAAACTTGAAGCACTTCACCCCTTAGATTGAAAGTTATTATGGGCTATTATTAATATTGTAAGATTATTCAATCTCTCCCCTTTTTTACATGAAGTAAGAAGATGTCAAGAATTCATAATTAGGTTGTCATAGTTTTATAAACTAAGAAATACTTCAAGGTCAACCCCATGCAAGATCAAGACACACCCCCTTTAACACCAAATGTCCCATTATGACTGAGTGCTATCAAGCATCACATAATATATCTCTCAGAAATGTTGTCCCTAATTTCTCTCCTTAATGGTGAATTTAATCACTGCCAAGGAAATCTAAATGGACTTGTACTAATATTTATTATAGGCCTTGTCAAAAACATTAGACTGTAAAAAGAGATCATCTAATTTTGATTCTCTTATAGCCAATTAATTTTTAAAATGGTAAGGTACATACTTAAGGATTCTCACAAATTATCATAATGAGTTCCATAAAGAGCCTTTACAAAAAAAGTTTCTCAAAACAAAAACTAAAATCGCAAAACATAATTTAAGAAATAATAATTATGCGTGCATAACATAATTATAGTATAAAATTCCCAACACACGAATTTCAGTTATGCAACTATTATCATGCACCAAAAAGTCCCATAAAGGGCCTTAACCAAACATAATTGCTTAAAAAAAACACAGAAACTAAAATCACAAAACAAAATATGAAAAATAATAATTATACGTGCATAACATAATTATAGTATAAAATTCCCAACAAGTGAATTTCAGTTATGTAACTATCATCATGCACCAAGAAGGCTCTCATACCACATAGATTTGGCTTATACAAAAGTCCATACCTAAAAAAAAATATATTAAATATTTTTATACCTATAATGTATAATAAATATCTAATACATCAAAAATGCTATTTACCTATTCTCAAACCCAACCATCAAAAATCACATTAATAATGTCACACCTATGAAGTATATCTATTATCAATGCTACAAGATTTTAAGCATCACAAATTACAAGCTTTATGACCTTAGGACAAAATAAAATAATTTTTAAAAGTCCTTGGGATCTTCTAGGAATTGAAGAACAAATTTGAGACTTTAGTGAAATTTAAACAAAAGTGTTTAGGGGTAAATTGGTAATTCTAGAAGATATTTAGGTCAAAAAACAATTCTAGAAGTTAAGGGGCCAAAATATAATTTTCGCAATTTTCAGGGCAGGAGGTAAATTTTAGAAATTCTGGGTATAGACTGTAAATCACCAAAGTTTGGGGTCCCAACATAAATTCAAGAAAATATGGGCCCTTAACAATAAATTAATCTGGGGCTAAAACTGTAATTCAGCCCATCTTCCACTCCCTATGCCTCACTTAAGTCGAATTGCCTCCTGCTGCATTTTTTTTTAATATCTAGCCTAAATGAAAGCTACCCCCAATAGATCCCTAGGACCCACTTCTCTGACCTATTTCCTTCCTACGTGACCCGACTCCCGACTCCATAGCCTTCAGGGCACCGCGAACCAGAAGTTGGGAGGATGACACCAGCGACTGCCAAGTAGTAACCTCCACGCCGACAGCTGAGAGGGAGCATCTCCAGCGACCAAACAACAATTTCTAAATTCTCAATGCTGGCTTCCAACGACACAGCCCACGGGTGCAAACAAGAAAGCTTCTGGTAGCCTTTGAAGCTGCGTCTTCCAACAACTTGAAATTGACGGCGACACGTGAAACTTGATACAAATAGGGATGACTCCTATGGCTATGACTGGTGCCTGTGGGAGAAGTCTCACATACCTCCATAAAGGAGTTCTCGTGTTTGGCATCTTCTTGTGGCTAAACACCATTGCGACCAAGCATTAAAATAATAACCAAGATAAAATATAAGGCTCCAAAATAGATTCCATATTAGAACCATGATCAAATTTTATGTTTGATTATAACAAATTTTTAGGCAGTACAGCGTGCATATGCATATGATTTCATTGCCATTTTCAATAACTAAGATAGAAGGAGAACTATAAGCATATGAGCTATTAACAAAATCTGAACATGCTAAATTGTAAGGAATTTACATCCAATTCATCATATTAAATTGAAATACTACAAATTTAATATTTGTAACCTGACTCTGATGCCACACGTTAATGTTAGTATCTCAATTTATATAAATCAAATAAAATTTAAGCATCATAATATGTGCGTATCTAAAGAATTCATGATCACTTGAGATACCTTGATTACTTGAGTATAAACAAATACATAATCCACTAGATCTCGTAGTTTGTAGAGAGTTTAGAGATAATGAAGAGAGCGAAAACTATTGCGTGTTTATGGTTATCAATTGATCGAATTATATAAACCAGATCAATAACTGCTATAATAAATAAATTAGATAATTATATTTTATTATTTTTGACTCAGTCAGTTAAGAGATAGATAATAACTGACAGTTATAAAGTTGTAGGTTGAACTTCTATCCATTAGACTCACTAATATAGTCCACCTATCATGATCCATATAAGATTATAAATACCAATCTATTTAAATTAATTAATTAATATAAATTCATAAATAAATATTCTAACATCTTGTCCTTCTGGTCTCGCAATCATTGACAACATGCACCAAAGAAACCCTCAATCACAAAGAACAATAGAGTAAAAAAGAAAAATTAGAATGACCAATCGGATCTTCGCCTTTAGGAGAAATGAAGAAGATGAACGCATCGATTGCCATGAGTAATAAAAGAATCATAGATAGTAACACAAGTATCATAGATCAAGTAACACAAACAGATCAAAAAGCACGGGGTCAGGAAGAGATCAAGAAAACTCGAATTGAAATCATGTCAGATCCAATCTCGATGTTGCGTCAAATGGACCTTCGATTCGATAATGTCACCAAAAGGAGCAAAGGCCTCACCGAGGGCATCGTTGTCAATAGTCCAAGCAAGTCCACCGATAAAGCAACGGTACTCAACACCTGCAGAAGTCATTGATACTGAGGAAAAAGAAATATAGGAACAAAAGGGGAATCAAAGAAAGAAAAGTAGTGTCAATGAAGGAAGCGAATGCGGTGAAATTTCAGTGCCTAGGGGTTTAAAAATGTAATTGGGGTCTATAATCCATTGTATTTACCATTGTGGTACTATGGATCCACAGTGACATCCGACTTTTTTAGTTTTTTTAATTTTTACTTGTCACTGATCGGATCACTGTTGGATCTGACTTTTCTACATAATCTATTGCATTTATCGTCGGACCATCTGACTTTTTTATTTTTTTTATTTTTATTTGTCACTGATCGGATCGCTGTTGGATCAGATTTTTTACTTTTTTTAAAAAATTTTATTTGTCATTGTCAGATGTACTGTATATTTATATTAATGTTTATTTTTTATTTTTTTAATATGATACATTAAAAAAGGTACAAAATAATGTGGGCAATGTAGTGAAAGAAAAAAACAAACCTCAATACCAAAAGGGTTTAAAAAATGTAATTGGGTTCTACATTTATAAGTTTTAGAAATTTAAATAAGGTATAAAAATAATAAATTTTTATATTTTGAGAGATTATATAGAATTCATAGTAAAAATTGATGGTGAATATGAAATTTTTAGTAAAATAATAGGTGTTAGGTATATAAATTTTTTTATATATTTATTATTATGAGGTTTTTATAGATATAGCTCATATTATAAAATCAAACTAAACAATCGACCCAATATTTATTATATTTTACACTATGACTAATTTATTATATTTATCAATGATATACCATTATATATCAATAATAAATTTCTTGTATATTAATCTCAACATGCCATACTCCCAAATTTTTAAAATTAATCCATATTTTCTAGCTATAAATTTTTTTTACTAGTGTGCCAATTTATCCTTATTATTAACACATGGTAACAAATCAAAATAATTTGTGTGAGCATATATAAAATAATTTTTTGTTTATATTCTTTAAATGCATAAGGTATAAAAATTTATTATTCTATTATTTATATGTAAAAGTTGATTATGGTTTGAACACCTATAAAAAATATTAATATAGTTATGTGCCTTAAGCCTGAGAAAAAACAATTATGTAAATGAATTTATCTTCTACTACTTACCTAATCTTTTCTTAATAATCACTGTGTTGCTTGTAATGCTTATATATGATTCATAAATGGTAATAAAACATGGATTATATTATTTGCTTGATTTAGAACCATTATAATTATGATTTATAAATAATATTATCATATAAATTATAATATATGTTTTATTTTCTTTAACATGATATAAGGGGCAACATATTTTGAAAAAGAATAAGTTCGATTATATTTTAAATTACAGGATGTGAGAAATTTTAAAAATTAATTCTATTTTTTAATATCTATAAGAGTAGTATATTGCAAAATAGAAGTCGTTCTTTATAGGTATTATCTCATTAAAATTTTAGTCTCATATTTGCTGACTATGAGGACACCTTAATAAACAAAAAAGAAAAAGAAGTATTCCTTAAATTTTGACTTACATGGGACAATACATTCTGAAATAAAAATAAGTTATTATTTATATTTTTAATATGTACAAACATAACAAATTTTAAGATAAAATATTCTTTAAATTTTAATTTGCATAAATTAATAAATTATAGAGTACAATACACTGCCATCTCTTTTGTTTTACTAGAATTATAAAGACTTCTTTATTTTTAAAACTTACACTTTAGTCTCATTTTTAATACAGTTAGGAATATTATATTAAATAGTCAAATATTTAATTCATTATTTGTATTAATGTTGAAACATTTTAAATTATTAATTTACCCCTATAATCTATTTGTCTATCATCTCGCTTCCTAATTTAAGAAAATTCAAACAATTTTTTGCCAAACAAAAAAAAATTAACAATTAATTATGATAATAATTTAAAAATATTTTATCAAAATTGTAAAATTTAAATAAACATAATCATAAATTATATTGACTAATGTACTAAGTTTTTTCCCCTGTAGATACGTGTTTGAAATATTATTTTGGTAAACTTACTTTCTCAGCTAAAAAATATAAGAATTTCTTAGGTCGGGGTTAGATGTTAAACAATGTAAAATATTTTGTGTTTGAAGGTGTAATTTAAGGGTGTTCATGAGATGGGACAGGACCAGGATGCCCTAGTCACATGTCCCGTCCCGTCTCAAAAGTCATTCCATCCCATTAGAAGTTGGGACGGGATCGGAACAAGATCGGACGTCCCGCCGTCTTGATAAATAAGATAATATCGAAGAAAGATCTGGATGATAACATTTATTAAAATTTTAAATCATATAATTTATTAAATTTAAAATCAAAATAACACAAGTACATAAATCACAATAATTTAAAGTCAATTATTGAATTATTAATCACAACTATTTATTATAATAGCAAATACAAGTGATCTTTATGCTATAAGATTAGCAACAATAGGCCAGTCAAGTACAACATTAAATCATTATTCTTCTACTTTAGTGGAGATGTACTAAGTTAATTACTCTTCTAAAAATAAAGTAAGAAATACGTTATAAATAAAAGTTATTAAATAGATAGATATAACAATAAATTATATTAATATAATTAATATATTATAAAAAAGATATCATCATTTACTCCATGTCATTAAAATTATTAATATAAAAAAACTTTAGTTTTAAATAAGAATTGCAAGTATTAAAATTATAATTGATATAATTAATATAAGTATAAATTATATTAATATAATTAATATATTTAACATAAAAAATAATATATATAATATTCAGGCTGGGATAAGATCTGTCCCGATATGATCGGGATGATACTGGGCCAATTGGGACAGGTTGAAGCTGAACACCCCTATTGCTTTTTTTCCTTCAAAAGTGCCCATAATGAATAAATCATTTTATATTTATTTTAGAGTGAAACACTCATTTAAATAACAAATATGAAAATATGGTGTTATTTTAAAGATAAGTAACTACTTTATTGAGGATGATATTTGGTTAAAAATACCTTATATTTTTTAAAAGATGGAGTATTTGTTTAATTTTTTAAAAAATACTAAATAAATTAGTTTGTATGACTAATATATTTAAAATATAAATAAAAATTTAAAAGAACATATCAAGAATGATATTTTAGTCCAATATATGTGACTTTACTATCAACAAATGATTGAATGAGTAAAAATAAAAATTTAAAACTAAAAAACATATTTATATTTATAATTCTTAACTATTAATTTTAAGAGGGATTTATATAAATTTTAAAAATTATGAAAGCTTTATAATTAAGATAAAATAAATAAAAAATAATATATTTTACTTTAAGGAAAATATTTTTTTAACATTTATATTTATTTATATTCTCAAAAGTAAAACATTCCTGTGCACTACACGGGAATAATTCTAGTTATATTTAAAGAGGAATATTTTAGTCTAAAATATATGAGTTAACTAACTGTTAGATAAATGTAAATAGAATCATAAAAGCAATGGATGTGTTTTGCCAATATTAATCCTAAGGAAAGTTCATATAGGATTTAAAAGCAAAATGAAAGTATACATAGTTAAAGTAAAATTTAGGATATGTAAGCCTATTTAATTTTACCATTCAAATTAAGATAGAACATTCAAAATTTGCTCAATTATAATAACTCGCTATAATTGAGGGAAATATTAAGGCTTAAAAAGCGTTTAGAATGATACCGAAGATCCTAGTGTGTGTATGAAATTCCACTCTATTTAAATGATCGAGGATATTATTCTTAAAAATTTTAAAATAATTTGAAATTGAAATTCGGGGTAAAATACAAGGATAAATTATTAATTTTTCCTTTTTTTATCAACTAATTTTCCTTTTTTTTGTTTAACAAAAACACCAAGTTCCTTCTATTCTTTCGCCCTGTGTTGAGTATTTATGACTCATAATTTTTTTTCAGATTTTCAATATTTTAATTCTAAAATTAGATTAAAATTTTCATTTTGAATATTTAATTTTTTTTTATTTTTGTTCTAAGAAATGTCAACGTAAAGAAATAAAATAAATTGTCGCATGTATATAACTACTATATAGAGGTTTTAAAAATAGAAGAAAACTCTCAATATATAATTAAGGTAAACAATAGAGAATATTAATGTATTTTACTCTAATTATAGCATAATTTATATTAAGATATAAAAGTTTGAATTTTGTTCTGTTATAAGAATTCACTGTAATTGAGGCAAGTATTAAGACTTGAAAAGCGTCTAGAAACTATATATATATGAAAGTCCATTCTTACAACTACAATAATATTTTTGGTTGCCGCAAGATGCATTTCCCTGCAAGATGAGGAGGCAAGACAGGCAGCGATGGCGGCAACACAATGAAGCAATCAGAAGAGAAAATAGAATCTTCTAATTGAAAGTGTTTATTATTTATTTGTAAGTACTTAAGATACTTTTCTCCTGACTCTATTTAAATCGAATCATAGCATGTTGGAACCTTTTGGAACCACATGTATATATGTTAGATTGTGTGAACTTAATATGTGTTCACAGGTCAAGCCTACATGGAAGTACATGAAGGAATATTATATGAATTATTTTCACGGTTGCCAGCGAAATCAATCTTCAAGTTCAAGTCATGCTCTAAATCAGTGTCTGAGTTCACAAAGGAGACAGTTTTTGCATTGAAGCAGGCTCAAAATTTGGAGCAAAAAGATGATTCTTCATATTTCATTCACGAAACCATATTAGAGAATAACGAAATCAAATACAAAGCTGAAATACATGCACTACCTGGAAAGGAGGCATCTTCTGGTATTCCGACAAACTTTCTACGATTCCATGAAGGGCTATTATCGATCATTGCATCTAGCAATGGATTGGTTTTCTGTAGAGTGTGCACATACGAAGGTTCTTCAGAAAGACTTGAATATATATATTTCATTTGCAACCCGGCAACACAATTATGCTCCCCGTTGCTTGCCCACATAGTTTGAACGGAGATCGTATTAATGGACATTGCATATTTGCCTTTGATTGCAACCATCACAACGAGGAATACCAGTTA